CCCCCCCCCCTTGTATAAGCCCATCAAAAATCGCTTTCGAAAGAATACAAGCCCAGGGCTTATAGTCGGAGGTTTACGGTTAATTAGTAGTGAGCTTAAGCAAGTGACGTTTTTGACAACACGAACGGCATGAGTAACGTCAGACGACTGGGTCAAGGGCTGTGATTGGTGAAAAACGTCAACTTTACTTCCGGTCGACGTCCGTGTTGTCAAAAACGTCAATTGCTTAAGCTCACTAGTGGTTGTAGTGACTCGGCAAAATTTGCCTTGATAACTCGGCAAAATTCACTTCAGTCCCCCCCCCCATTCAAAGGTCTAGCGCCGCCCCTGCTAATCACAAAATGTGTTAATTAAAGGTAAGTATAATTTACTTGCAATGCTGGCATGATTTAAATAACAAAGCTTGAATTTGATTGTCAGCCTCAAGATCAACTTGTTATTTGGACGTTGATTGCACACCGTAAATGAATGAGTCCACGACTCTCAGTTGGTTAAAGCGCCGCACCGGAATCGCAGGTTCAATTCATAGAGGGGCCTACACGCGTAAAAACGCTCAGGTTGATGCAATACTGATGAAAACAGGATTGAACAATGTTTTGCTGCCCACATTGTTCATAGCTGTCAACACTATTGAACAATATTGTTACACCCGATTCAGGCTCAACAACATTGTTCAATATTGTTGACAAGTGTGAACAACGTGGGCAGCAAAACATTGTTCAGTCCTGTTGAGCAACGGGCTCGGCGTTTTTTGCCGTGTATAGTTCCACTTTTCGCAGCTGCTCCTGGTCAGCTGGCTTTAAAAATGTATGAAATTTACACTCGAAATTTCCATCTACAAAAACCCTTCAACATTTCGTTAATTCTATTGAGTGAGATAAAAATCCTTATATTTACTCGGCAAAATGAAATCGTTACCTGTGTTTGTCTGGAGATTATGCAAATATCTACAATCCTGGTCAAAAATCATTGGTGCACTTAGTCGAAATAGCATAACCTTTACTTCATTTCTGATTACCATATACATACTTGCCCATTTTATGCAAAATTTCATGTCCAAACACCCCCTATCCCCCTAGCCTGCGAACAGGCTCTCAAGCTGAATTGAGAGCCTGCATCGATGACTAATGAATTTGAATCTCTGCGTCTCAAATCGTGACGCTAAATTCTCATTGGTCAGATGCTATAATTTATATGTTTCCGCTGAGCTCTATATATGTCAACTGCAAGCACTATGCATAAAATACACATTACAGTAACTGATCAAATTGGTCTTGGCCATCTTATCTCAAAGCACGAAATGTTCTGTTTTGAGAAAACAGTATTTAAAACATTTCAACTTTTGCTTGAATATCTTATATTTCGAAAAACAGTATAAACTGTACGGTCTAAATTTAGTTTGCACGGTCTAAATTTAGTTTGCACGAAAGTTGTAAACAACACCATATAAGGATAGACATTCCATATTTGGACAAACGAACGTTACAGATTCAAATTCATTAGTCATCGATGCAGGCTCTCAATTCAGCTTGAGAGCCTGTTCGCAGGCTACTATCCCCCTTATCAATGTTGTGTAATGTCTCAATCAATTCCATGGGTGCCCAACACCCCCCCGGGCGTTTGTCGGGCATTCTCAACTGTACTTGTTCCCAGGGTCGGGCATTTGCTTTCTGCAGGTTAGCCCCGGGGTGGGGAATTTGCTCGAGGCTAAAAAGTCGAATATTTATCGCTTGTTTCGCCATTTAGCCGTACTTTAGTACGCATGTTTACACCAGCGTGCGTATCGCAAATTAATCATGGCGGAATAACACAAGACTTTTTTCTTGTCCATCCTGTTGATACATTGACTTACTTCTGCAGTTTGATATTGCTATATCAAGTTTTGAGACTTCAATATTTTAATTAAAAACGTTTTAAAACGAAATGCCTATAGAATCGATTTTAAATACAGATATATTGATACGTGATAGAGCTTGGATTCGATTTTTTGGATCAGAAATCCTCAGAAAACTTATATTTTGTCCCCCAAGGGTGGGGCATTTGCGTCAATATAAGTCCCCAAGGGTGGGGATTTTGTTGCATTATTTGGACCCCATACTGGGGCATTTGCAACGTTTTTTCGCCAAAATGACAAAAGCCCGACAAACGCCCGGGGGGGTGTTGGGCACCCATGGAATTGATTGAGACATAACACCTTGGACGTATAACACACTACACACAACATTGATAAGGGGGAAAGGGGGGTTGCTATGCTTGTTATTGATGTGGGAGTCAAATTTCGTACAGTCAGTGTCAAGTGCGCCAATATTTTTGACCAGGATTGTAGTGTTTCGTCGTCGCGTGCGTATCATTTATTTTCGTCAATCAACCAATAGCAAAATTTAACATGAAGTCGGTGAGCATGATAATTGGTGTTTTCGACGCATGCTTCTATATTCGGTGCATGCTTCTACATTTTTCAATGAAACATAAAACTTTCACAAATTTGTGATGATGAATAATGAAAAAAGCCGTGTGAAAAATTCAAGGACCCAATTCAGAAATGTTAATTCCCATGACCTAAACCATAGTCTTTTTGGAGACATGGTCTGGAAACTCAGTAAACTTCAAAGCGGTTTTAATGAGCTGTGATTTTATGTTGAGCCGTAACTTACACCGTGCACATCCTTTGTTTTAGGTTTATTAATACTTAAATAGCATGGTTGAATGACTGAACTGAAACGTTGCTTCGTTGATTATACTGACATACAATGTGTTCATTGACCGTGCACCGTGCACAAAACTGCATAAACGCGAACAAAAAGATAGAACAAAGACTTTAGCGGAGTTTCCAAACCATGTTTTGAAAGACTATGCCTAAACCAAAAGCGGCGTCATATTGTTTTGCCCGTTACCATATTTCGTATTCATATTTTCCTCAGCATGACGTCATAACGTTGACATGATTTTTCATATCAACCGTTACGAAGACACTCCGTTTAATATGTCAAAATTCCATCTTTGATCAGCTATTGAGTTGATATGACGATTTCACAGTTGGCTGAGCCAATCAGAAACCATGAATGTTGCTTTTAAATAAATAATTAACCAACTAAGTTCTTTGTATGTTTGCATGGCGATAAAACATATAATAGTTTTGTTTGTGGAAACACCACGTAAATAAATTTGCAGTAATAAATTTACGTGGTGTTTCCACAAACAAAACTATTATAATTAACCAACTGTTCGGGAATCGGGGATGGATAACCATTAACCCAAAACCAAGGACCACGTACGCTTTTCCATAAACTTAGACAAAAAATATGGATGATTTGCATTTCATATTACTATAAAAAGATTTTAAACCATATTTAATTCCAATTTTAAACCATATTTAATTATATCCAAATGTGAAGTGTTGATAATTACTCTTCTAGTTATGAAATTTATAGGTATCGTATTATTCGTATCTGCATGGCTAGTACATAATATTTAGTATAATAACTGAATAGCATGCATGCATGAATCAAATTATTCTTCATCTAGCCACTCAAGAGGTTTTTGAATGGATTGCAGAGAATTGTTAACGGATACTTTTTCAAGTAGATATGTTGAGTGGTGAGAGCTCCTGCTGTATTCAAACACTTGGGCTGTGTCTTCGATTCAAAGAAATACTGTAAAAACAATTTAAAAGAGGTTTCTTGACATTTAAAAAGTGTTATTAGAACTTTAACTATGCTAATTCGCGTATGCAAGATGATAAAAACAACTTCCAGCAAGTCGTTAAGCCTAGTTTCCATTAAATCGCAGGAGTTGCGCAATCGCAAGAAGCGGACAAACCGCAATCGGAAAAATTCTACGACTACTAGAAAATACATGCATGCGGAACCCTTGCCTTACTGACAAAACCATTATATTTTCCGAACATGAAGTATAAGTAGTTGTCATGGTAACACGATAATTTCATGAATAATAATTTTATAATTGAAAAATCCCCTAAAAATGATGGTGATTGTGATGGTGGTGGTGAAAAATTGGCGAAAATCGGCGTATCAAATATTAACCATGCAAGCGTTGCTCAACTTAAAAACGTATTATTACGAGAAAATTTATTCGTTCGGAATCGTGTGAACTCTAACACGAATGCATTGCCTAGCTCGTCGGGGACCATAGAATCGTGGCATGTCGCTTCATGCAAAAACTTCTAGTGTGTGTTGCGCTAATTATTGTTCGTTTTGTCGGGGCAGGAGTATTACGCCAGCGACCCGGCCATCGTCTTCTAACTTCTGCCACATTTTTGAATCTTGCATACTCTAAGCAAATCCAAACTCTTTGATCCTTAGTTAATCTTGGCATACTCAAAATGAAACACAATTAAACCATAACATAACACTGAACATAACATAACATGCAACTCCTCAGAGACATGCAACATTCTTGGAACAAAATGTATCAAAAATATAGCGCTGATACAGTAATATGTAATCGCAAAAAGATGGCTAGAACAGTATTATTTAAACTACCATAATCATCCTATTCAAACTTATAGAAACAGTCAACTGTGTTTTGTTCGTTTGAGACTACTCAAAATATGAATAGGCCGTTCAAGAAAATTTATTACCCCTTAACTTGTTTTTGGGTAATTTTAAAAATCAATCAAAAACGTGCATAAATTCAAACGTTAGTATCTCACTAAATAATGAGCAACAACTTACATCTAATATATCAATATCTAAGTTAGCCTTTCCTGTATTTAATGAAGGTTATTTGAGTCTAATTGCTTCACTCGCTTTGAAGTTATTAAGAATCAAACCGGAATACTTTTTTTGGGACACCCGGTACTCCAATCCATGTAAATAGTAACTACTCCAATCCATGTAAATAGTAACTACTAAAGTCCAAGTAAATAGCAACTGCTCAAGTCCATGTAAATAGTAACTACTCAAGTCCATGTAAATAGTAACTACTCAAGTCCATGTAAATAGTAACTACTCAAGTCCATGTAAATAGTAACTACTCAAGTCCATGTAAATAGTAACTACTCAAGTCCATGTAAATAGTAACTACTCAAGTCCATGTAAATAGTAACTACTCAAGTCCATGTAAATAGTAACTACTCAAGTCCATGTAAATAGTAACTACTCAAGTCCATGTAAATAGTAACTACTCAAGTCCATGTAAATAGTAACTACTCAAGTCCATGTAAATAGTGTGACGTTGCTCACGAAAGTAATCTGTAAACCCCTCCTGTAAGGAAAGCGTGATTAAATTAATAGTACAAACTTTTACATAAACTTACCCCAAGTTCACTAGGTGTTGGATGTTCCACACGTCTTGTCTTGAGATCAGCAATCATTGCCCATCCAAAGCCCGTCAGTTTACCCTTATGGTACAATAAAAACACTGGGAACGAATCATCGCAACTCATTTCTTTAGATATGTTGTACCAGTAGTGTTGACCTAAATGAAGTCAGTAGACATTGCATAATAAATAATCAAATTATAACAAATTATAACAATAGAGAGCTTAAGAGCTAATATAAGATACCTTGGTTCCGACTTGCGGGTACGGCTATCGTCGGGTAGCGTGAAATTTTAATAATATGCGCAAAGCGAAAAATAAATTCGCCAACGTGATTGGTTAGCATCCAAGCGATCCAATTACTTTTCCGCGGCGAATGTTTTCGCTAACCAAGCACATTGTCATTGCCGAAATTTGTTTTTCGCTTCGCGCGAGCAAATTCACCTGGTGGAATACAGGATTTGCTGGTTTATTGTTTTAAATTGTATTATAATCAGTAAGCCAGTGTTAATATTTGAGAATTGTTATTTCAAGCAAAGATTCCGATTTAGATCGTAGTCTTTCAAAACATGGTTTGGAAACTCCGCTAAATTTAGGTCTTTGTTCTATCTTTTTGTTCGCGTTTATGCAGTTTTGTGCATGGTGCACGGTCAATGAACACATTGTATGTCAGTATAATCAACGAATTATCCAATAGCAACGTTTCAGTTCAGTCATTCAACCATGCTATTTAAGTACTGTTTAATAAACTCGCAGGTCGTGTTTTATTAGGTTTAAAGATATACTGCCTTATTAGTATTCTTTATATAAATAATACTAATGAGGGCACGACTACAATAGATACTGCCTTATTAGTATTCTAGTTATATAAAGAATACTAATTACGAGTGTGTTTGATCAGGTTTAAAGCCACTGCACGTGACATATTATGGTTGACATGATTTGCCAATAAGCTTATGAATTATCCTCGAGCCGACGGCGCGAAGCGCCGTGCGAGGGTACTAATTCCCCCCGGCTATTTACACCCGGGGAAACGAAAGGATTAGCGAAGTCTAAAGTTCATCAATTATCGCGGGCGTGGGTGACCAACGATGTTGGGGTGGGTGGTCATCCTCACTGATCTCAAAAATATGGCGGACTGTCATGAATAGCGGACACTGATTGGTCCAATTTAAAGTTTGCATTATAACGACTGCATGACGACAGCGAAATAGCAAACATTTCTTGATTTGATATATGAATGATGATTGATAAATTTCTTGCAAATTTATTTCATTTTTGCTCGCATTTTTGCAAGATTTTGTAAATTTCAAAAGCTCTCTCAGAAAGGAACTGCGAAAGAATCGGCTAAAAGAAGGGAGCCGACGTTAACGAAGGTAAGTTTGTTTTAAATATTGATTTTATAATGGCTTTAAAACCCGACGGCCTTTGCGTATATGAAACAACTAAACAAGACAGCATATAATTTCAGTGTATCTTTAATATTGATTCCCTTCTTTATGATATTGAATTTTTTAAATAAAAAAGAAAGCAAAGTTATTTGCAAGCGAGAATTTGAAATCATTTTATTACAAACTCAAAGTTTATCGATAAAACCATTTTAAAAGCAGTTTAGTTTTATAAAGAACACTAGTGACTTTAAAACGTTTTGCGAAGCGTTTGTGGTTGAATTTTACCTTAAATTACGTATAATAAAAAGCTTATATTACGTATAATAAAATACCTAACATATATATGTTGGGAAATTAATAATTTTGTAATTAAAAGTGATATTTTTAGGCGATTTTTCATTTGTAAGAATATTCTTAAAAAATTATCGTGTTACCAAAGATTAGATACCATAAAGATGTGCCACTCGACGTATTTCCCTAATGTTTGCGTGTCCGTAATTTTCCGTGCTGATCACGAGTGATCACGCGAGATGACGGCGAGACTGAATACAATAGGTTGCCATTGTTGCCATCGCGATGCTCGCGCTATATGACGAATTTGACACTTACTGGCAAAATGGCGGCTATAAAAAAATCTCGGACATAATTTTCACAGAGTGGCACATCTTTATAGTATCTAATCTTTGGTGTTACCATGACAACTACTTTAGATACTTCATGTTCGGAAAATACAATGGTTTTGTCAGCAAGGCGAGGGTTTCCGCATGCATGTATTTTCTAGTTAATGAGTGTTTGAAGTATTAATAAACCTAAAACAAAGGATGTGCACGGTGTAAGTTACGGCTCAACATAAAATCCCAGCTCATTAAAACCGCTTTGAAGTTTACTGAGTTTCCAGACCATGTCTCCAAAGACTATGTTTAGATACAATGTATCTTCGTTAGGCTCGTTCACTCAGGCGGTTGATTTCTAAACAAGAGAGCTACCTCTTTCGCAGGCCGTAATGGATACCCGTGCCTGTTTGCTGGTTATAAATTAAAACTTCGAAGGATTACTTCTCCCCTTGTTTTTGGAAAGGCCTGTGAAGCATATTTTGGTATAATTAGGTATGTAGCACCGTAATTGTAACTGCTCTTAGAACTTGCTTTCCACTAATAAGCAATTTTCAGCCGCCATTAGCGGCCAGGGTTCTCTTATGCGAATTTTTACTGAATATTATAGTTGCACAAAAATGTCTTACCCATGAAAAAGAAACATTTTCCTTTCACCCACAGAGTAGAGCCCAGATCACTTTCCAGGTAAGGAATACGCATCACGTCATCTGGAGAATTTCCGACTTGAATATACAGATTATCTTCGGTGCGCTTTCCGTTACAAATGCCGGAGGGATGGGTAAAGTACGCTGTGATTACTAAAGAATCGTTTTCCTCATTCCAATGTCTCTTGTTCTTGAAACTTAAGTCCGTAGCCAAGGATTTTGCAATCTATACAAAACAAAAGATACTAGTTGTTTATTAAATAATATTTTTTGTTTCTGATGTTATGCACTCATATTATATGGCAAGCATCACTTCCGGTGAAATGGCGGAGTGTGATTGGCTGAGAAGCACTTTCAGCGGTTCATTATTTTCCCGTAATGTCCGGCGGTTCATTACGTAAAAACAAACGCATGCATTTTAAAACAAAACAGCAAAACTGAATGGAAATTATAATTTAGTTTGTTATTAATATGATTGATATCTGCGAATGGTTTGAAGTGGAAAGGAAGGAATACATTGGTATTTTTTGCTTTCTTCGACCACTCAAATATGTACCACGCTACTAATATCAGTAATATGCATTTCAAATCATACAGTTCTTGTTTGTTTCAAGTATAAAAGACTATAAATGCCATATAATAAACTTTTTTATTAACCTCGCTTGCTTGGTCCAAACAGAGAAATATCGGACCTCGGTCTTTTTGCACAAACCTCGCCCTACGGGTTTGGTCTGTATAAAAAAGACCTCGGTTCGATATTTCTCTATAAAGACCTCGCGCTCGGTTAAAGGTGATCTACAGTCCGATCTGCGCATGTGCACAAATGAGCCCACTTTTTATGATACAAACAGTTTCACTATGTTTTGAGTTCTTGAAAAGCCTGATTGTTGTTTCTTGATCATTTATTATACTCTAGAAGCTTGAAAATATAAATAGTTGTCGAATAAAGCTCAATATTTTGGACACAAAAATGTAAACAAAGGCTTTGTTTACATACGGACTGTAGATCACCTTTAATAAGAAGTTAATATTTTTTGTGATGTTGTCTCTGAGTGTGTGCACACCGGACAATCTGAAACGTTTGCTTGACCGCGGTGGGAATCGAACCCGCAACCTTTGGTTTGCTAGAAACAAAAAATTCAAAGATCGTAAAAACACTGATATCGAAGGAACTAGACTAAAGGCCCATTTCCACTCAGGAATATTTTCCGCGGAAAGAACATTTTAACAATGATATATTCGGAGAATTTTGTGTCCGTGGAAATTTTTCTTGAGTGGAAATGGGCCTTAAGACTAAGTTCCGAAATATCACACAATCGAACCGACTTGACCTCGTGGCTCAGTTAGTAGAACATTGGACCAGCAGTCAAGCAAACTTTTCAGCTGCTTCTCCAGTATGGACACACTCAGAGACAACATCACAAATAAATAATATAATTTTGTTAGTAAATTTTGCACTCCTGACAATACCAAACAGTCGTTGTCTCGAACGAAATGCTCTCTTGCAGCATCGAAACAGCGCTCATCGATTTATCGATTGGTGAGTTATTGATTAGTGAGTTATTGAAATCCATGAAATTCGTTTTATGAACATTTCGAAACGTTTCACAAATCGTCAAAGGTTTAATTTTACATTAAATCAGTTGAATGTTATGATTGTGTCGTATGTTCTAAGGTGAAATGATTTGAGATGATGTTTTCACTGAGTGCGTCCAATTCCAAAATGGACAAACTGAAAAGTTTGCTTGACCACAGTGCGAATCGAACCCGCGACCTAACACCATGCAATCACAAATTTTATAACAGTTAAAAGCAGGGACGCCAGAACTGGGGGGCAGGAGGGGCAGCCGCCCCCGTTGCCCTTTACCAGGAAGAGCAGGGGGGGGGGCAAAAGTGTCCTTTCAATTTAAAGGATTGCCTTAGCGAAATAGCGAATTGTCAGAAATGTTAGTGCAATTCTTTTACGAATTTGCTTCAGAAAATGCAAGAAATGCAGTCATCGAGCTTCAAGAATAGCACAATTGCCTGGCGGAGAACCCCCTCACGCTCCTATCATTCAATAAATAGAAAACATGATTAGGCGAAGTTCAACTCCCGATGTTTTGCAAACATCTCTTAGTATATATCAATTCAAAAGTGCCCTTTCACGAAAATCTGCCCCCTTGCCTTCACATCGTTCCGGAGTCCCTGGTTAAAAGTATTTAAAATCTTTGCACTATTTGTCATTTTGTAAAACGAATTCACATCATCATGATTTGCACTGATTGGGCAACAATTCTTTGGGCAGCGTTTTGCCATAACTAATAAAAAATACCGTCATGTTGAAAAGGGCTTGCAGCATGCATCTAATTCTAGTTGGTTGTAGCTTAAATGCTGCAAGTTTTACGGTATCAGGTTTGATAAATTTCTTCACGAGGAATTAGAGAGGTATTGGTAAACTGACTTTTTGCTTATTTCGGAGGACATATAAAGTTGTATATGTACGACGAGAAGAAGTTTATTCAATCTAGAATACAACATCACAATTAGGGACTTCAAATTAACTGTTCAAGAAAAATGCTTGATTTGGAAATGCTGGAGGCGATTTTTGGTTAGATAAGTAACTGAGGGTATTATTATCATTATTTGATGTTTAATTACACATTTTCGCACATAAAATGAATAACAATGTGTTTAGAAATTTAAGAAGTTTAAAAATAACACCGCTTTCAGTAGAGCATTGACTGATTCACTGACGCTTTTCTTGTCATGAGCACACAGCTAGATCAAACCCGCGATCACATGCAGAGATGAAAGGCGCTTGCTCCGACCATTAGTAGTGAGCTTAAAGCCCTGGGCAAACTAGGAAACATTTGTGATTCTCGATGTTTCCTCAAATGTTTCCCTGTTTGCCCACCCGTGGAAACATTGTTGCGGAAACAAAATTTGCTCCCCGAGAAGCAAAAATGTTTCCTAGCAAATTCAGAAACATTTGATGTTTCCCTATGTTTCTCACTAATGTTACCTAGTGTTTGCCTACTCTGGGAAACACGGCGAAACATTGGTAGGAAACAATGTTTCCCAGTTTGCCCAGGGCTTAAACAAGCAACGTTTTTGTCAACACGGACGTCACCCAAAAATTGGTAGAACTAATATTGGCGGCATTTTGCATCATAGCGCTCATGTAAGGAAACAAAAAAGTATAAAAATCTTATGTTTTGTCATATATGCTGAAGATTACCACAAACACAGTTTTTAATCCAATCTCCCCTCGGTAATCTGACGTCCGCGTGTTGACAAAAACATCGCTTGCTTAAGCTCCCTAATATTAATTCACGCACTTACCCCAAACTGCATCCCTGCAATATCTCCATTGTAATCATAAAGCACCATTGTGGACTTGTCATTGTAGAGGACATAACGATTGCCATTGAAGTAAGATGATGCTATATGATTTTGTGAAGAAATATATTAATTCCCGATCATTACATTTTACAAATGTATATATATATATATATAATATAGACAAAAAATGTTAATATAACATGACCGAATAACTGCTTTAGTAGACGTTTATGTTCTATAGTAGTATATTTATAGCATGCCATAATAGGTTTACGTGTGGGCTGTGTGGCATACAAATATGGCATAAATTATACCTACCACCACACGATGCGGTTTTTGTCCAGCCATCATCCTCAGCTTCTTTGGAAGTTTCAGGTAGATCAGTGAATTTCTTGAAAGTCACTATATATATAGTCCAGTGTATATTTCTTAGAATATAAATTTCAAGTGGATTTGTTACCTCCGCCAGGAGGGTATGTTTTCATCCGCGTCCGTTCGTCTGCCTGTGTTTGTGTGTGTGTGTTTGTTAGCTTGATGACTCAAAAACTATCAAATGTATTAGTGCGAAAATATGTGGAATTAATGCACATTGCCATGCAGCTCATTGCGTAATTTATGCATTATACTTAACTTAATTCGGTGGCGGAGGTATCCGAATGCCCTCTTGTTATTAATTAATTGTTCTTATTCATGCAAATGTTTAGAGAGTTTAGTGGTTGTAACAATGGGACAACATACGAAAATAATGAGGTCCTTCTTGGTCTTTGTTCAGTTTGTTGCGAGGCCATGAAATTTTATAGATTGGATTTTTGTAGATGAAATTTTCGAGCGAAAATTTAAATACCATGCATGTTAAACCTAACTGGGGCACCTACACAAACCCTCTGGCAGGAATCGAACGGGCAGCCCTGCGATTTCGGTGCAGCGCTATAACCACTGATCTACAACATGCAGGGTCCATTTTTGGAACGAAAATTCATGTACAATTTAGACCTAACCAGGATACCAATAAGTTCTTAATTACATCTACAAAAATCCCATCTATAGATTCAGTATATACTATCGAGCGAGTGCCCAAAATCTTGATATTTACCCAATAATCTGGGCATGCGAAAACCTAATATTGCGTATAATGATCTCAAGTTTGCATTTTGTACACCAGCCAGGCGATGATGCTTGAGCAGGTATTTCTGTCGAAAAATAGGTTTTCAGTATATTTACCATGGAAATCACTCCATTTCTTTGCTGGCACTTTAAATACAGGGAAAAAAAACATTAGTTAGAATCATTTAGTTAAAATCAGTTTCTATTCATGAATATATATATATAGAGTGGGGTTTGGGTACATGCATACAACGGGAAATTAATCCGGGTTTACCAAAAAGCTTACCCTATACCAAAATGCGGAGATTAATATAATATTAACTAGCTGCAACGGTTTCTGTTATTAATAATTATATAATTATAATCCCGAAATATCTAATAATATCAAACGACATAATTTATTCATCCTTATGGATTATATTTTTTTATTCTAATTTTGCCAATTTAATTAATTCTTTTTGTGCACAGTACCAGTAATCAGTGGGGACTGGCACGTAATACTATTCCTTCCATGTTCCACCTTTTAATAGACACTCTACTGTTTTACAAATAACGACATGATCAATTTGTCAGCTAGCTTACTTCATGCATGTGTGATGTTGCTTCTTGGATTTTTTTAAAATTACGTATTCTGTCCCGGCGTATTTGGATGCGCGCAGTCGCACCACTGTCGATCTAGTCGTCACTTTTAACCGGGTGACGGGCTATTGCCTCTTTTATGAGAAGCGCGGGTTGTGCACGGGGTTTTATCCCCGGTATTCCAAAGTTTTCTCCCTCTTAAAAATAGGCACAGCACGTGGTGTACGTGCAAAGAAAAGAATGTGAAAAACTGCATTTTTGCTACTGAACTGCATGCATTCACATTTTGTAATTATCCCATAATTGAAATTATTAGTTATTATACATAATAACATATTAGAGTTAAAAAGACAAACTAGAATTTAATTTCTCATCTTTTCTGCATTCTGAAGTTATTTAATAACATATTGTACATTTTACTAATGTTCCAATAACGACTTATGCTAAGAGATGGTTGCAACTGATATGAACGTACTATCTTGAACTTTAAAGACATTTAACCATTCTTTATTTAAAGGACTTAGTAGAGAATTTGCTGTTTAATTGGGGAGATTTTAGCTCAGCTGGAGACAACAGCCGAAAGCTGAAGACTTGGCATCTGTGTTACAACGGCTATATTTTATTGTTTGTACTTTGTACTTCATGTGTATTCATGTTTATTGAAAGAGTGTTACACAAAGTTAGCCCCCCCCCCCCCTAACCTGCACAGCCATGGTGCGGCAGCCATGGTTCATGTACTGGTCACATACACATGTTGTGATGTTGGCGTCTTTGCCTCCCCCGCTCCCCCCTACAATGTTGGTTTTGACATTCATTTCACAAAGCTTTAACCTAACCAATTTCTAAGCTGTCAACATTGAACCAAGGGGGAGGGGAAAGTTGAAAATTGCTCTTTTTGCACGTATATGTTGGTCAAAGCAGGTATTTGTATTTCCGCGCGCGCTGTCCACAATAATTTTTGCCAGGACCAAGTGCATCATGTGCGACATGTACTATTATCGAGTTGATCCAAATAGTGCTTAAAATACAAAGGGAATTTTAAAAGGCTCATCTTGCTTCCTGATTCGAATTATGAAAGGCAGACCAAGTCAAGTTAATCGGCATGCATGTCAACAACCTTTTTAATTCTATCAAAATATTTATCGTGAACCTGAATTAATTTTCTTTAATTGTGACTTGTGAAATGATTGTAATAAATGTTGATTTTTCCTCAATTTTCTTGATTACTTAGTCGATCCAGGTCATCTGTTTTGCACCTTTACAACACAAAATAGTCTGTTTTTATCAAAATATTAACTTATAAACTGCAGATTTTATTAACTGACGATCAGTGTTGCTTTATGCGGTGTGATCGATATCCAACACTGAAGCTACTAAGTCCATACCACAAGAAAATCTGAACACTGTGAATAATTACTAACGGTTAACGAAACTTACTAACGTTTCATCATCATTCGTCGGAGTGAAATGAAGTATTATCATATACAAGTGTGAAAATTAAGTTCATACATGTTTGTTACCAATTATTTCATTTATGGACAAAATTTTCATCGTTGGATGTCGATGATGGTGGACATATAACGCTCGATCTGTTTGTATTAATACCCGAGTTAATACCGCCCCCTCCCCATAGCCTACATAAGAAGGTTATAAATTGTCATTAAATTTTACAAATTTTAAGTGTTACTGTGACGGCAGACGAATGGCCTTTGCTGGAAACGTCGAAATTCTCCTTATATATTTCAGGTACTGTAGTTGTATCCCTACCAACGAAAGCTTGTCCAAAAAAAAACACCGCATGTAGTGAACGGTTGATATGCTACAGTACATACACTACATGCCGCGAGTCTTTGCGCGAAACATCTATAGCATATTATAAATCTATTTATCCACTTGAATTACGGGGAACCACTGAGTATCTTAATAAAATATATACAATTTTTTTTTCGAAAATGTTTATTTTCGGAGTTACCATTGTTTTATATTTTTATCCACTTGACTTATACTACAGTTTTAAACTGTTCACCTTCTACACACTTCTTCAGACAGTATTTAATAATATTGTTGTAAAGATAAATAGTCCGGCAAGTATAAGTAATACAAGTAAGCATATATAATACTTGACTAGACTAAACGAAAGCTCAAATGCTTGTTAACAGAACTCATGCAAGTATTGTAGAGAAGATCTTGTTACTTGTAGTTCAAGAAGATTATATATAATTGCTGCTTGAACAACCTTTTGTTCACAGTTAACTATAATCTATCTCTAGAAAATAATGTTTCTTTGGTGAATTGTGCACTGTGACTCATTTCAATACATCGAAATCATCCCTCCTCATATCTCGTCCTGGCGAAACGGGATCGTATAAACTGCCCCTTATTCAGCAAATTGCGCATGGTACCAGCCCTTGGGGGTGAGGCAGCATTTTCCTTGCGATAGTAACTTCTAGTACTTGATATAATCGGTCACGTACTGAAAAGCCCCGATGGGGAGTGAGCTGAAGAATGTATGTATGTAATACGAGAATTGTGAATAATGCAGCGAGACAAAGTTTTGAGAGAATCCAGCCGAGGGACAAGGTTAAGAACATGACGATGGCAAACGTCATGACATTCCCCGATTCCCGGATTCCCCGATTCCCGGATTCCCCATTCCCTGTTTTAAAGATAGCCCAAACGTGACCATGGTTGACATTTGCATTGTTTGTTGGAAAACACCGATAATACAAGGAAGCATATATAATACTTGATTTGGGTCACTGAAATGCCCCGATGGGGAGTGAGCTGAGTAATGAATGTATATAATACAAGAATTGAGATCATTAGAAAATGATAGAAAAATGACGTCAGCAGCGAGAAAAAGTTTTGAGACACAATACAACATGCCTTGAGAGAATCCAGCTGAGGGACAAGGTTAATTAAGAACATGACGATGACAAACGTTGACCATGGTTGACATTTGCATTGTTTGCTGGAAAACACCATGTTTATTTGCCATATTGAATAAAAGCGTTGCATGTCCAGTGCACAACAGATTATTTTGGTGTTCAAGCTGGTGTACAATTTTCCATTTATGTAGTTATGTCAATTATGTCTGGTGCACATATTATGATTGGCCAATTGAAAAATTAAACTGTTTGTAAATTAAGAAAAACTTTACCTATAGAGTATAGAATTGCTTTCGTTTTCGATTTGAAAATAGTCCTAAAACTGCAAAGAAATTGTGTATGCGAGGTTCCGAATCTCAAATCGTTATTTGGCAGAGCTTTTCATCCATATAACTATAACAGAATCCTCCGTCATCCTAATGAATATCTGTGCATACGGACAGAAAGATTAATTTTGCCAAACAATGAGTGTGGGCCACAAAAACAAACTAATATGCGTGAGTTATTATTTTAGTTGACAACTTGACATTTGGTCAAAATTATTAATTAATCAAGGTCACCAAGGCATCGAGCGCTAACAGCGCTCTTTATTCAATAACATTGAACAGACATACGTATAGGTGCATTATTCATTTGGTAGTTGAATCAACACAAATATTTACACAGCTAGCAAGGTCTGAGCATTGGTAATTTAATAATATCAAGACAAGCAACGATGCAAATGCCCCATTCGCATCAATTGTACATCAGTTGCTTTGTTATAGTCTTGTAGATTTCAATCTTTGCACCATGTTTCTAAGTGGTGTTCGACTCTTTTCCTTTTGTCTGTATAATACCAATAGTTCAAACTATACGCAATAATACATTGAATGATATCCAAATATAACAATAAGATCACAATAGTACAAAATTACATTGAATTCGTCATTTGCGCCAGTTTTTATGTCGTCATGCAATGCCTTTAGAATTCTATACTATATAATGACTCTGTGGCAAATTTTGTACAACACGTGGTTATACTGTTTGCTTACTTGAGATGGCGACAGTATAGAATATGGCGTAACTAGCGCGCAAATAATGAACCTCGTACTTGTAGTTAAGTTGAACCCCCGTAGTCTATTAAATATATATTATACTTGAGGCCACATATACCTGATTTCCTAGGCTTCAACCAGTTGAAAAAGAATCCGTCCACGGCAGTCGCAAGGACAATGATAAAAACGATTTGCTGGATGCCCACCATTTCACAGACTTAGTGAGAACAGAAAAATGCTGCAGGGGCTACTGAATTTTTTAGGTGATGCTTCGGCAATCGGCACCCTCGAAACTTTTATTCGTGCGGGTAGGAAATCTGATACCTATGGTATGATAGGCCGAGCCTGAGCGAGCCTCATTTAGTTTCGAGTTACGCGGTGCAATCAATAATGTGTTCATATATATATATATATATATATATATATATATATATATATATATATATATATATATATATATATATATATATATATTAATTGTGTAATTGTGCACTCTGTAATATGTTAAGATGAAAATGTTCTAGAGTGTGTATTATATAATTTCCATACCCAGCGCAAGCAGAAAGATGTTGTCTGCCGTAGCTGGGTCTCGAACCCGCGACCTTCGAATTACTAGATCGACGCTCTACCTACTGAGCTACACGGTCAGACGGATTTAAGACTGGAAATTATGAAATAATGAATGCTGAATTAATATAAACGAGTAAACGAGTATGTTTATGACATTCAGTATATATTTCATAATTTCCAGTCTTAAATCCGTCTGACCGTGTAGCTCAGTAGGTAGAGCGTCGATCTATAGTAATTCGAAGGTCGCGGGTTCGAGACCCAGCTGCGGCAGACAACATCTTTCTGCTTGCGCTGGGTATGGAAATTATATAATACACACTCTAGAACATTTTCATCTTTTATATAATGGAAAACCAGAGCATATTTAAATTAAGGTTTTGTGGTACGAAACTATTTAGTAATAAAGATGCCTAGTGGATTTTGTTGATTGTTGTATCTGTACCTTAATTTATATATATATATATATATTG